CAACAGAGAAACTGGGAACAACCAGTGTGGATTTCCCAAATCACAGCAGCCCACCCTGTTTGCAGACCTGGGGACGAGGGGAGAGCAATGGCTGTCGTACACCTTGCCTGGGTCAAATCCTGCACCTGGACTGGAACAGCCCAAAGCAGCAGTCCAGGCTGAGAATCCCAGTGGCCAGAAAGCAGCTTTGGAGAGAAAGTCTGGTGGGTAAGTTGAGTATGGGTTCGTGATGCCTCTCTGCAGTGAAGACAGCCAGCTACACCCCTGTAGTAGCAAGGGTGCAAGGTTATTCCCCCCTATTCAGCACTGGTGAGACCACACCTGGAGTCCTGTGTCCATTCTGGTCTCTCCAGTACCAGACAGATGTTGTCACACTGGAGGGAATCCAACGCGGGGCCACCAAGCCAGCTGGGTAGCCCATGGCATGCAAGGAGAGACTGAGGGAGCTTGGTGTGCTCATCGCTGAGGGGAAGCCCTTCCTCCCGGAGAGGGTGCTCAGGCACTGGGATGCTCTGCCCAGGGCAGGGGGGAGACACCGTCCCTGGAGGGCTTTAAGGAGAGGCTGGATGTGGCACTTGGTGCCTGGTCTGGCCCATGTCGGGGTGTTGGGTCATGGGCTGGGCTTGGTGATCTCAGAGGCTTTGCCAGCCTCAGTAATTCTGTGATTCTTGGGGCTTGGGTGAGACCTTACTGCTCCCTTCAGCCACGCAGAGGGAGGGTGCAGGGAAGACGACTCTTCTTGGAGGTGCACAGAGGAAGGGTTAGGGACAACAACAGAAGCTGGAAGGTGGCCAATTCCAGTTGGGCATTAGCAAAAGGATGAGGGCTTTTTGGTTTTGTTAGTTTTAAACCCTGAAGGTGGTCAAATACTGGGGCAGGTTGCCCTGATGACCTCCAGACGGGCTTTCAACAAAACCAATTCTAACACCAAGCAGAGCAGAGCCCGGAGCAGCGATCTCAGCAGAGCACTGCTGTGACGGGTTTTGTGTCTTCAGCACAGCAGAGCACCACGTTCACATGCCAAAGAATGACCCAAAAGAATATTAATCTCACTCATACAGGGGGGAAACGAAACTAGGGAACCCAGCTTCTCGGTGACCCTCAAATGGTTATTCATTTGGACTGGAATGCCGGGATAATTATGATCATAATCAATACAAGATTCACACAGCTGGAGGCAAAAAGGGTTTACATAGCATTTCCTTTGTTAATTTGTTGACATGCGACGTAAGATTTATGTGTCTGTGCCTTGTTTTTCTCTGTTAATGCAAGACAGAAACACTGAAATCACCTCTACCAGGGATGTGTGGGCATCTTATTTTAAAATCTACACAAAGTGCTTCATAGGTAAAAAGTAACACAAAACAATTCAAACAACGAGCAGCGGATCTTGTTAAGACATGCATGGATTTGCTTCATGAAACTAAGGCCATTTTATGGAACTCTTCTCATCTTCTTGCTGCAGTTATAATTACATTCTTGCTCGTTGACTACTGTATGGGATTCTTACGGATTTTGACCCAAATTTCAGAACAAAGGATTCACAGGAACTAAGCAGAGCACGCCAGAATGATCTGTGGTGGTAAAAAGACCTTTCAAGGCAACATCTGTAGGCTGGACTTGATGATCTCATAAGGCTGAACCTGATGATCTCAGAGGTCTTCTCCAGTCTCAACAATTGTGTGATTCTGATTCCTGAACCAGGAAAAGAGAATTTTCACCACAGTCCTTGCAACATGGTAAAAATGAAACAGCACCGAAGTGGAGCAAGAGGAACAGAAACGCCAGCGTGCTGCAGACTGGATTTAAAAGGTTTGTAGCTGATCAACGAGGAATGGAAACTCTTCGGTTCGACTATGAGCTTGTGGACTGACTGGTGACACCGTCCTTCACCAGAAAAACCCAACCACTTAAAAACTGCCGTGCTCCTATTTTGAAAAATTATCATCATGGCAATATTAGCTTCAAGTTCCCACCCTGTCTCCTGGGCTCCACCTTGCTGCTAAATATGTGATAACCCCCCACTTATTCTAGCTCGTTAACAAGCCTGTTTTCTCCACTGCTGGCAGCACAGACAAATAGCTGATCTTTGTTCTCCGGTTCTCAGGCTGAATCCCTTTACTTCCCATCTCAAAGCAAGACCCTTAAAGAAATTCCGGAGGCAGCAGAGGATCCTCTCCCTCTGTACAGCTGCTCGTACTGTCTATCCCACCCTGCTTGGGACCATCTACACAGCCGTCATCTCCACCTTTTCCATGTAAACAGCGCTACAGGCGCTCGATATCCATGAATCCATGGATTAGTTGGGTGGTTAGTGGTGGAAACTGCTGGAGAAATCGGCAGTCAACCCTTCCTCAGGCAGTTTTATGAGAATTTCTAACAAGCCAAGTGGAAAAGGAGGAACGTCATGGTCTTGAAACTAAAACTAATGGAGTAGTTAATTTTTGTTGGGGTTGTTTTCTTTTGGTCATAAAAGAAAAAAAAAGGGAAAAAATGAAAAAAAAAAAGAAAATAAATTCAGGCCACACCAAACACAAAAAAAATGAAACCAACAAATTTCATTAGTGACTATGAAATGAAATATTGCATTTAAATTTTGGATTGTAAAACTTTTTTTTTTTTTAGAAGAAAAACTTAGGGAAAAAAATTACATCCATGTATTTAAAATGAAAATTCCTGACAAGTCTAGAATTTTGCTTCCAGCACTGGCAAAAGAAAGTTAATCAGTTGGTCCTAAATCATCGCCTAGGTAGACCAGTGTTTAAACAGCTAGAATAATAAAGGCCCATGAAGCTGATAAACAAACGCCAACATTCACAAATAAACTTTGTCTAAAACAAATTTTGTTCTTCTGCAGCAGCGTGTAAGGAGTCTTGACTCGTTCTACTAAAATAAGTGTACTAGGGGCTTGGGATCCAAGCCTTGTGTCTTAAGACATGAAAGATGAAGTGAGAAGAAAGAAGATGCAAATCAAAGAGTTGTTCATGTTGGAGCAAACAGCATGGAAAGTACTGGGACAGACACAAAATCCTCAGCCCCGTTTTAAAGTTTTAAAGCTAATCTGACTCGTTAAGAGTACATTCCGAATGTACCAACATGTTTCAGTTCTCATTAGTAGAACATTTATCATTATTCGATGTTCCCTTGGTCATTATACTCACTAAATCAATTCATTTCAGACCACCGATGTCTCTGGGTCGCAGAGACTGAGATCACCAGGTTAAATTCTCTGGTTTTGTCAAATGGGTCAAGTTTTTGTAGGCGACGAATCCAAACTGGACATGCAAAAGGACACGAACACAAGGAACAGGGTGGAGACAAACATTACAGTTGAAACAAAACCCCTCCATGGCTTTTTTTTTTGGTGGAGGTAAATGGACTTAATGAATGAACCAATGAGACCGTCCAGCTTGTGACTAAGTAACTGCCTGTTTCAACGCAACAGCGCTGTAACCAGTTCCTGTTGGGGCATATTCCTTACAAGTATCTACTCCAGAAAACAGAAAAAAATAATCATATTACAACCCAAGATTTTTAAAAATAGAAAAATGCACCAAATTCTGCTCAGCTACCAAGAGCAGGTATTCAGGAAACAAAGTAAATCTAAAAAATGCTAACTTTGGGAAAGTAGCTCGACATTCTTGGTTTACGTTTAATTTTTACCAGTCCAAGTCAAAGTCAGTAGCTGCCCTCCACTGTTGCACAGCCTCAGGGCTGCAGACCTTTTACCAGACCCACGTTTTCAGTTGTAAATTTTGATCTGATCAACACCCTAATGGAGTTTCCACAATAGCATCAGCTCCAGTAAAACACCCCAAAAATTAGCAAGTCAATTTAAAGGGAAAAACAACTCCGAGTTAACTCCTATTCAGACCTGCAGCTTCTCTCCAGGCCAAAACATACATACAGCTCTTCCCAGGGGGGCTCCCTCTTTGTAATGGTAACAGAACAATTTAAAAGGATGCTTAAAAATGGAGACGGAATTTCAATATTGTGGACAAGGGGGAAGGGGCTCCTTTGGTGGTTTTGGAGGCATCTTCAGTTTACAGTTGCGCTGCTTTAAATAAGGAACGGAGGAATGCTGCCTGCTGCACTGGGAATACTGGGCCAAACGGGTAGTGTGAAAGCTTTCTCCTGAGAAGCAGAATCTGAAGAAATACTACTACAGCGTGCTCTAGGTCATTCATTATAATTTTTGTTTCAACACCGTGTGCAATAGCTGTCCCAAGATACTGTGAGACCTTTCATACTCCCCTATATTAAGTTTCCTTCATCTAAAACTAGAGGACAGTATGTAAGTCCTTCCAATTATTTGTGGCATATACCCTATTAGATTCAGCAGATGTTTCCAATCCTGCTGCAGTCTAACATGAGACCTAACTTTATTTCTACGTATCTACATACCTATGTGAGGACAGTAATGTAAAAAGTTTAATGTTTGTAGTATACATACATAAAAGCAGCTTTTTTTTTTTTTCTTATTGTGGCAATGCTCTTCTAAAGTAGCAAGGGGAAGCTCGCTTTAGGAGTTTATTCTTACGCTGGGCTCCCACTGCCTGTATTTCTTCACTACTGTTGTGCTGCAATTAACTCCCATCCCCAAATTAACAACGACATCTGGGAAAGCTGCTGAAGCAAACACAGAAGAGCAAAAGCACAGTAAGCTCCGTATCACGATTCTACGAAGCAGATGAAAATCAGTTTATTTTTACACCTGGCAGACGCAGGAATTGCACTGGGAATCACAAACTATTCCTCAATGAACAATACTTAGACCTATTGAAGCGAGAACATAAATTTTAGTAAGATCCACAAGAACCACATGTTTAAAAAACATGTTAGAAACAAAAAATGAAGACATTATTACAAAATAAGGAGGACCTTTTTTTAAAGTACTGTTACGCCCACCGATGAAGTTTCTGAGAACAATGAAGCGATGTTTTGATCTGAAATATTTGTAATTGGCTTTTAACGCATGCATGTAGAAAAACAAAGCGTACCTTATAGAGACCGAAGAAGCCGAGGTCCCGCAACACGGTGAGGGCACTAACTCGTGGACCAGTAGTAATTTCTCCAGCCACCTGTAACCGAATCTTGACAATTTCCAGTGGATTGGTAAAGATCACTTGAGAGCCTCCAGCCTGAAATTAGAAGTGGAGGACGTTACGTCAATGATTTGCACTATAGGTCCTGTTACACTCAGAGAAGACATCTTTAATCCTGCTGCAGTCCGTTAAGCTATCAGCACACACGAGGTTTAGTATTCGTTAATAAACTCCAGCTCACAAGGTAGGAAACCTCCCCTTCCCTCCCAAGACGAGCGGTCGGGGAAAACAGAGGTGAGCCACGGCAGGACACTGCAGCCCAT